GGTCATACGTTTATTTACTGTAATATACAATAGAAAAATGTATTTTTATAAGCTTTATTCATCCAAATGTCAGCATCCCGTTATTACGTGCATATTATCAATGTTGCTTTAAAACCAACAATATTTGGTGTTCTTTGATCAAATCCAAGATATTTGTCTTTGATAAATACGTTTTAGCAGAGAATGTGTATTGAATGCATCATCGGTTACTGAATACCGGTTCAATTTTAAGCAGCAGAGTGTTATAAAAGAAAATGGCACGATATGTTTTTTTATACGACAAATTGTAGTTTTTATAGGGCCATCGGATGTGATTTCATTTGTTTATAAGAGTTTAAATGTTTAGCTATTTATCCACATATCAAAAGTAAAACTACAATTATGATGGTAACAAAGTAAAGTTAGCGGTAACTCTTCAGAATTTTACTTTTAACATGATATAATAGCATATGTTATAACAGACATAGTAAGTAACTTTATGATTTATTTATAATATACTCATAAATCCTTTAAACACATACATCTGTTTTTCTTGATCTTTTCAGCTTTAAATTTCCTAAATCCTTTTTCAAAATGAAACATATCAACGCTTTTAAAGATCGATAGGCAAATTAAACATGCAGTTGTAAAGTATTGACTGATAGAACAAAAGCTAAATTAAAAATAATGACTTACTCTTTGAATGTTAAAACATATTTCACAAGAAATATGTTATAAAAGATGTTAAAAATATAAAATATAAGAAAAATAATTCTTACGGTAATCAACTCATCTCTATCAAAATGCGGCAAGGTGTTATTAAACAACAAAAAAAATACCAATATAAAAAAAGAGAAATAAAGCTCTCTTATGAAAGTATAAACAGCTGTTATAACTGAAAAAAGTACGTACAAACTAGTCGCATTGAAAACATAGACTCTCACTTTCAAAATATTGTACATATTTTCCTCCATGGCATAACGAGTGCATCGATAGCAAATATTCGTGTTTTGCAGAAGCCGATAATTCATTTTTATGTAGAGAATGCGTATCATAAAAAGAAGTATGTCTGCCATAATAGACATTCCTGAACAAATACTCTTATTTACAATGCTTATTAACAAATATAGATAGCAAAACATAAGGTTCATGGAATATGTACCACTGTTTGTGAGGATCATTTGCCAAGAAAAATAGCTTATGAACAACTCAGTCAGCAACATTCCTATAAACCTGATCTCAACGTGTTTGCAAAACTCAGCAGATGAAATATTATGGATGTATGTACCAATGGCTTGTATTGTTATAGAAATGAATGACATTATGGTCAATATAAACACGATTCTTTCTTTAACAATATTTTGGTTCATTTCCTCATTACCCGGCTTTCTTTATAATATCGAGAAAGCTGTCATGTATTTAATAGACAAATAAAAATCTGATCAACAAATTATATTACAATTTTTATTTGATGTATCTTAGATCGCAATATGTCATTATAATGGCAAGCTTAATGCAGCTGCATTTGTTAAGAACTAATTGCCAACTTTAATTATAAGTACTTCATTGATAGCGTCGTATTTAGTGTTTTCTTGCTATTTATATTTCATGATCATGTATTAGTTGCTTGTTTATCATGAAGTGACTTGTTTGATTAATTGCTTGCCCTTTATGAGCATACGAGGGCCAAGAAGTGCGCTGTCAAAATTTTTAGAGGAAGAAAATATCAAAGTGGATAAAACAAACAAAATAAAAGAGAATGATAAAAGAGCAAGCTCTGATAACGTTATTACAGTAGATGCTGGAAATAATGACAAGCGTGGTTTAACAATATGTGGGCGTTCGTTTAAAAACGAGAATAATACCACAAGGCAAAAAAGAATAAGATATAGCAGGCCTATTGAAATTGTCAATTTAAGACAAGAATTAACGCTGCGAACTGCAGTGTTGCAAAAAATACACGAAAATTTGGCTGTGTTTAAGCTAAATGATGAACAGATTGTTGAATACTCTAAGTTTCTCTACAAAAATAGAGCTTTAACACCAGAAATATTTGATTGCCTGGTTAATTACGCTAGTAAAAAACTTGTAGTGTATGACTGTTCCATGATAGAAAAATTCGATATTTGCAAAAATTTCGAACATTTAGAATTACATTATTGCGGACAAATGAAGAACGATGATATATCGCAAATACTTAGACATGCGGTTGGTCTGAAAGTACTAAAGTTAACGGGCGCGTTTTTGTTGGAGAAAATCAATTTGAGGCCGTATATAAATGGTGAGAGAAAAGAAAACATGAACAAACTCATAGAAATAGACGTTAGTCATTGCTCAAGGTTAAAAGATAATTTTATTGCACAGGTTAATCGGTACACTCGTATAGAAGCGCTGAACATCAGTTTCTGCTATGGTATAACTGAAAAATCTCGCTTGAAAATAAGTCCTAGAAGGATTGTTGCAGATGAGACCAGAATAAGTAGGAAATTCTTTAAAATGAAGGACTGTTCCCTTTTAGAAGAGCTTTCAATAGCAAACTGTCCTGTTTTGTTCTTTAAAGGTAAAAATCGTATAGACCTGTGCAAATTTACTCGGCTCAGAAAGCTGAACATTGAAGGAATATCTGAGATGGAACAAATTGGAATAGACACGTTAGAAGAGCTCAGAGCCGCCAATTGTTTTAATCTTTCTCTTCCATTACACAATGATAAATTAAGAATTTTAGATATTTCCAAAATAAACTATACCAGAGATATTTTAGCGAAATTGAATAGACTTAGTAGGCTCGAATATTTGAACATTAGTTTTAATGAGAATGTTGATGACGATTTGATCATAGAATATGTTACTACTTTAAAGAATATCAAGACCATCGTGGTTTTTGGTTGTTTTAAATTGACCAAAGAGCTGGGAAGATTAGCGTGGTTGATTAAAAATAACATAAAGATAATCGGCAATCATGCTGAAACAAAATATTTGTTAGAAAACTGAAAGGGTGGTTGTTCAACAGAGAACCTTGTATGTGATGACAATGGTTCATATCACCATGATAATTATCATTGAAAATTAGATTGTTGAATGTTTAGACAAAAAAATGCGTGTTGACAAGAATTATAGACAGTGGTAGTTTGTTTCCTGATGTATTTTACCCTTTTTTCTACGTTTTATACTAACACGTAGGATTGCGTTGAAATAATATTAAAGGCAAATTCTTTTTAAAAAATAAGTAATTATCATTCATATGTAGTGTTTTGTTAGCCCACCAAGGCATAAAAAATAGAATTGATTCGTTGCTTTCATACATTCTGTCACAACCAAATAGGTAAAATGTTCGTTTTTATGTACTTTTAAATTACTAAATTTTTATACTAACGTTGGAACATCAGTTTTTTTAAACCACCTTGTTAATTGTATTTTAAATAAAAATATTTCAGATATTCTTTTCTTAACAATTAAATAGATGATGTATGAATGACCGTACACATATCGATATACGTTTTATTTCTTTTCCGTTTCATGATTTATATTTTTATCAATCTGTTTAGGACCTCCCCATGGAACCTAAAAATCACGAAATTTGTAAACTTTCGAAAAACTATAAAATACCAAAAAAATGTACAAAAACAGACTACAAAACCTCCTCTGGTGTTTTATTACTTATAGGTGGGTGCGACCTTTATGTTGGAGCACCGTGTTATGTAAGTAAGGCAGCATATGCTACAGGCATCGACTTGTGTTACATATTGTGTGATGGATGTGCACTAATACCACTAAAAACGCTTTTACCGGAATGTATAATTCTGAGTTTTGATCAGTTTGAGCTTGAAAAACACACATTTATTCTGGAACGTGTTACCTGCTGTGTCTTAGGATCTGGACTAGGACGTTTGAACGAACGTGTGGAGGCAGTCATAAGCGAACTAATTGGACGAATTCGTGTTCCTTTGATAGTCGATGGGGATGGTCTTTATCTTTGGGATAAAATGAATTTTACGTATTTTGATACCGTAATTTTCACACCTAACAGGAACGAAAGCGAAAAATATTTAAAAAATGTTGATTTAAAGAAGGATATTGTACTGAAAAAAGGACCAGTTGATATTATAACGTATGTTGATTCTAAAATCACTATAAATAGTAATTCAGGGTTACGACGATGTGGTGGTATAGGGGATGTACTTTGTGGTGTGTTGGCATCATTGGTTAATGTATATGAAGATAAAATGCTGGCCTGTAAATACGCGTCATTAATTGTGCGAAAGGCGTCATATGCAGTTTATAAAAAAATGGGTCGATCTACAATGCCTACCAATATAATATCAGAGATATGTGCGATGAGATTATAGCCGATTCATAATAAAACGTTAGTATTAATATACGTTATAAAAAAGGTATTGATAAATATTTTACATACATTGTGTTAGGTTTTTATCATGTATCTAACATTATTTAGATATTTTTGATTGTATGGATTATATCATAACATTCTTATGTGTACGTTGTTTAAATTATAGAATAGATGTCAAAGATGGCATTTATATTCCATATGAAAACAATAATTAATATATTTTTATGCCATTTTTGCGTTCATTAGATATATCTTTGATATTTTAACGATTTAAAAACGCAGTCAATTCTTTAAAACAGAACAAAATATTTATCTCTACAGTGAATTTCAATGGTTTAAATAGTATTTTGGTTTAAACAGTCTATTCGAGAAATATTTATTTAAAAAATTTTAATCCCTTGTGAAATAAATCAGTAATTGATTAAATGCAAAGGACAACCACTTGATCGAAATATACGTGTTTTACAGCTGCCAATAAGTCGATAATAGAATTACATGATGATACAGTAAAGTAAAAAGTATAGTTAATGTGGCTAGATTCATATGTTGTGATTGCAAGATACAAATGACAATAATTATGATAAAGCGAGACAGTAAGGTGACAAATTACATGTTTGGTCGTCCCTAAGAGGAAATAAAACATTTTATAAAGCATATTTTCCGCGTCACTCGAGGTGGCATTGTCTAATGGTATGATGTCTGCTTCGGGTGCAGGAGGTTCCAGGTTCGAGTCCTGGTGCTACCCCATTTTTTTATGTATTTTTACCGAGTGGTGAAAAAAGAACATTGGGCATTTTAACATTAACACGAATATTTGACACGTAGTATTTTTATAATATTTCGATTTGCTGGCGAATAGCATTTAAAAAGTATTATATGCTATATACATAATTATTACCACTTTAGCCAATACCAAAACAATTACTTTTATATAGACTAATATTTTCTAAATAGCCAGGCGCAAATACCTTCATTTAAAAATCCATATTTGTAAGACAAAGGATGTTACAATTTTAATAAATACGATGATGTACTCATGAAAAGTTTTAATGCATCTTTGTTATAAATTTACGTAGGTGATTGTACGCCTCATGTACTTTTGATAGCAAATAGAAATCTATCACATTTATCAGATCGTTCTTCTTATTGAAATCCAACACACTCACAATCTTGTTACCTTGTTCTAATATTACACCATTTGTGACGTAAAAAAAAGCCCGGCACTTTAGAGAGATTAAGTAAATCGAATATTCTGACATTTTCAAAAGAGTCCAGCGACAAAGAGGCTATATTCACGGTATAGAGCAACTCGTAAATGTTCATGTCTTCATACGGGTTTATTTTGTAGTTCACAGACAATATCCAGTCATCGCTCAGTAATTCTCTATAGTTGTTTGTGTTTAGCTCCAAAAATTTATGTAATTTGTTATTTTTGGTTGTTATTTGGTTAACCTCCACCCGATACTCCTCGTTAAAATGTATAAATATGGTTATGATGCTGAGTATTATTGCTAAAAACATGTTTCTAAGAAATAGCCTTTCGTTAACCAACATGGGTTAGGACAAATAATAAAAGTAAAAGGGGACTGTCAAAGTTATGAATACTCCTGAGATTTGTTCGTCGAAATTATAAATAAAAGCGACAAATGGCACCCTACACCGTTGATCTCCCGTATTTATTTACTCTACCTAAGACGACTCGTAAATCAGTGTACGTTTTATAAAAATGGTTTCAAATAACGGTTTAATTGTATCATGAACTGAAAAAGCACCTATTAAGTAGATGTCCCGTACTCGGACAGTATAATAAGTTAAAACTCCTAACAATATATTGACACGTGGATTCATTTCAAGTAAATATCAAATTGACATCCCAAATTAATGTTAACTTGTTAATTGTTTGAGCAATTTTGAGTTCTCAAAATCGTTTTCAGCAAGCGAGACTTTTTACCCCCAAAAATGGCGGTAAAAAAATTTGATCCTACAAACTACATTGATTCTAGCGTGTCAGAAAGGTATATTTTAGCGTTTTTCTCGTTGCTAGGACTAGCTGCATTCTTCAGGTCTTATTTCTACACATATGCGCTCATACCTCTTGTTTGTATTTTGACCGTGGGACTAGAAAGAACTGAGCAGTGGATAGTAACCGGTTTTGCATGTTTATATACGTGTTTAGTGGTTAAAAATTTGTTTTATAAGTAGGCAGAATAATAAAAGCTTTGTGGCGTATTTATAGGTTCGGGTATCATCATTGTTATATCTTGTTTGCTTCATATTGGAAGTAATTAGTTTTTAAGCTTACAGAGTAAGAACGTTTGTGTTCACAGACATTTATTCTATCCGAATTTCCTTTTTAATAACTAATCATCGCCATCTACGGGCCTTTAGTCGTATATGAATGATAATATTTTAACTATAAAGTCTCGATAATTTATTTTCACGTTATTTTACAGTTGTTCGTTCACTATTTTTATCTTTCCATTATAACTTTTACACGTCTAGCATCCATCACAATGGATACGAATAATGAACATACTTATTACCGTCAAACACGAAATTAACTATTGATGTTGAGCACAAATTTTGATAGAAATTTCATACTTCTATATCTCACATTTCACTGTATATCTAACAACTGGTGGAACCAATGCCCATTAATAATATATGACTTAAAACACTGAACAAAATTGAGTTAGACCTTTATTATTTCAAAATATGTTCTTAACTAGCTTTGAATTCTAGATCGGATGTAATAATACACATTAAAATGGAAAATAATCCAATTTTTTTAATATAAAACACAATCATCTAAGCACTAAACAGAATATAATGCAAAGCCAGACATATTTGATAAATTATTATGTAAAACATTCCTTTACCTGGTGGTTGCTTGTGAGATATACACTCACCAAACGACTTTACAATTCACAAAATAATACGTTCATAAATATAAGCAGAAATTCAAAATAATCACATACAGCGACCAATTTCTTTCGTATATATAATAACTTAAAACCAGTTAATATCTTCTTAATATTTCCAAAAATTAGCACAACACATATGAAAAAGTTTCTCTGAATTTCGATGAAAAACAAGACATTTTCATTGATGCTCCGGCGTAAAGACGCAAACAACTTTTTGATTTTATAAATATCGTTATTTTTTGCATGCTATATATTTCATGCCATTATTAAACCTTTTTGATGTGATAGGCATTTAAACAGTTCCAAGAATTTATTTGGTTTATCCTAAATTGAATTTCAAAGCTTAACAATAGCCTTTTCGATTTATAATTCTATTATTGATACAAATATACATTTATTACGAGAAAAGATGCGTATAATAGAAAAAGTAGCTAAAGTCAGAAATTTTGGGTTGAAAATCATATTATAGTGTAATATGTCTCTTCTTTAAGACAAAGGGTTTTTAAAGGAACTTTGTACCAGGGGAGGGCAATATGAACCAGAGATTTCACTCTATGGCAACCAAGAGAGTAGACGAAAAAATTTTAATCGTATGTGATGCATCATGGCCATGTGAAAGCATAGTAAATACATTTAATTTGATGAAGAATTTATTTCTCCATCATGGCAATATTATACTATTGTAAAATGAATTTGGTCATTTAATGAAGCATCACTTCAAGTATTTTTTGATCAAGCGGTTAAATTAATATTTTCGAATAATTTAATCGCAATATATGGAAACTTACTTATTTTTCTTGCTTTTTTGAGTGTTGATTTAATTAAATTTTTATTTATCCACGTCACACAAACACATATGGCGCAATGGTTCATACTGTAGCTTCAACACTTTTGGGTTTTGTATCATTTCAATTATTCCTACTAAAAGTATCATCAGGATGATTAACTATTTTTTTTTGAACATTAGATATCAACGATGTAAATTGACATAGCGTCAAGCTAAGTCTATGATTACATTGTATTAAGCCATCATACGTGAACAAAAAAGCTTCAAGGCTTTGCAGAAGTTTATTAAACAACGTACTTATGGCTCGATAAATGTGCACTGTCACTGTAAACTGTTCTAATCGACCAGTGATCAAACACCAATCACTTAATGCATCCAAAAAATACGACATATTATGATACATGAAACTGTGACTGGTCTTAGAAAACCTATGGACTAGTAAGACATCCAGCTTCTTCCTACAAGTTTTTATTAAAAACAAAAACTCATTGTTCAAAGTAAACAATTCGGACGGTGAAACCATATAACGACTGTATCGCCTAATAAAATCATTATTTTTCCTTTCTAGTAACCCTTTAGATATTCTTTTAAAATCTATCAGATACTTTGCAAACGCCTTATACGTTTCATTTAATCTTCGGTTTGCCTCAAGTATCATATTTATATCTATTTCAAGGGTGTCAATTATGTTATTGAACTGCCAAATTGTAGAACTATCACATAAATTTTCTTCTAACAAACTACCTGTAAAAAGCTTGAAAAGTTCAATTTTTAGAATTGTTAGCCAATTAATCAACTGTTGCCCGTTGAAATACCAATGCCATCTATTCGATTTTCTAAAATACGTATATATTATTGTGGAATGGTCGAATTTATGATATTGAAAATTGCTAATAGCGAAAACCAATTTATCAATCTTCTTTTTACACATTTCATAAACTATTTCATAATTTATAGGTTGTATATTTTCAATTTCATAAGTACTCCTAGCTACACTGGTATACGTCTTGTTTTTGATGTAAATTTTTGCTTTACATGCATCTAAAGACCGTTTTACATTGTTATTAAATGAAAGTGGTAACAGCCTTTTCACGTTTGTAGTTTTTCTTCCTTTATCGTCGATAGAACCAGTGCTTGATGATGGTAAAATTGGAGGTGTGGTTTCTTGAACAGAATATTTTATTTCCTTCACCATTATTCTCTTTCCTAATTTTTTATCCGGATTCGCAGGAAGTGTTTGGGTATATATGTTAGATGCCAAAGAATAACGCGCTTTTTTTTCACCACTTTTTTTCAATAAGCTCTTCGATTCTGTACTCGAATTTATGTTTTCACAAGGAGCCGCCTCATTACTTTTAATTTTTAAACTATTGATTTTGTCTAACAAACATCGTTTACATTTGCATTTAACTTGTTTATCTTCGCTGGCATGTTCTTTCCAGTCCATGTTTGAAACAGCACTTGGTTTTGTAGTGTTTGCTGTACTTATTAAGTGTTCATTATCATGAAGTGCACTGTGTGTATTCGTAGCATCATCAGTTAAATTTTCTTGTTTTCTTCCCGAATCCTTTGAGTTATAACAAGGTGCTTTTGGTATCTTGAAAAAACCGCAAGTTTCTTGTTTTATTTTCTCCAACGAATCTATGGTCATGTGCCTGGGATTATAATCATCCATTTGGACTTCCAGTAAATTTGAATCATACATATCCTCGTCACTAAACTGAGAACAAATTGCAAAAACAAATTCTAAAACCATCATTGATATCGTTTGTAACATATTTTTTTTTAATTTATATAACTCGTCAAGTATGGTATATAACTAAATCACAATGGTAAATTGTCAATTCGTAGATTTTCAATAAAAAATGCTATCGTTTGAATTAAATAAGCTACATTCAATGTATAAAAATACAGCTCAAGAAAACCAAAGAAATTTTTCTAGACGGCTAAGAATTACAACAGAAAAAATATATTGCCGAAGTTCATTTTATTAAAAATGAATGTTGGCGAGAAATCGTCACGAAATTCTTAGCC